GGTGTTGGAAACAAAAACAAAACAATGCTTGGCAAGACAAAAATAAAAAAATCAAGCGACAAAAATACAAAAAAAAAATACAAAAAAAACCTTTAAATGTAGTAGCATTTTCACACACTGCTTTGTATTATTGTTTGTTGATTTTGTGTTGATCATTCATTAATATTAAAGGGGTCATATGACCTTGCTAAAAATAAACATTATGTTGTGTATTTGGTGTAATGCAATGGGTTTAAGGTAAAAAAAACGCATTATTTTCCACATAATGTACATTATTGTTGCTCCTCTATGCCCCGCCTTTCTGAAAGTCGATGTTTACAAAGCTCATCGTTCTGAAAAGCGAGGTGTGCTGTGATTGGTCAGCTATCCAGTGCGTTGTGATTGGCTAAATACCTCAAGTGTGTGACGGAAATGTTACTCCCCTTAACATACTGTGATGCCGTCTCCCGGCACGACGAGACAAAACCAATAAAACCCATTACAAACGAGGCATTTGTTGCATCCAGTGGGGACATAATTACGGATTATAATGACTTATACTGTCTTTTTAATGCACCAAGAGCTTGTAACACTCCAAAGAGAAAGGAAAAATTTTAATCGCATCATATGACCCCTTTAAAACCTGTGTCAATGTGAAACAACATAATTGTTCATTGTGTAGACACTTACAATTCTTACTTCTTATAAATCAAATTCCATTCATATTTCATGAATAAAGATATTGCTAGTAAAGGCAAGTAAAAGAATCATCAGGACACTATGAAAGAACAAAAATTAAGAAAAATGAATCTCTCTTTAACATGATTGAACAAAACCTTGGATAGTTACTTACGACCACCTACATGCTTTTTAAGTCACCTTTTTTCATTTATTTTGGAAAATATAATCCAGCATTATCACACTATAGAAGTTAATATGTACTGTTAAAGGGGTCATATGATGCGATTTCATTTTTTCCTTTCTCGATATGTGCAATGCATGTACAAATGTACAATGTACAAATAATGACATGCAACAAGTGACTGTGTCCTTTGACTGATGTTCAGGAAATCAACCTTTCCAAGACAGGAAGTACAGTTGACCCTGCGTATCACCGCAAACAAATTCCTTGGGGTCACATGGGTTCACCTCCAGAACCTTGACAGGGCCTCCACACACAAACATGCCCACCTGTGAAATACAGAAAATGAGTAAGAAACAGAAAGGAAATTAAATAGACACTGATATACACACCGTGCATAAAAGCAAGAATAAAAATACCTGTTTCTTAGTTCGTCTGTCCCACAGTTTGACGGTTCTGTCATGAGACGCTGAGATGATGAGGCTCTCTGTAAGCCGCAGTACACTCACTTTGTCTGTGTGTGCCTACAGACCAGTCACACAAACAATTTATCAGCATCGCATGACTGCATGATTGACATAATTATGATCATTATATTAATGAGAGAATATGAAGATACTTGCCGGTCTTCTTTGAGTCCAGGTGGACAGATTAGGAGGCTGATTGAACCACATGTTCCCTTTATAATCACCACACACAAAAAAGTCTGTAGAAAAAAACCAACAACATTACTTAAAAACATCCAAATTGCAATGTGTTATTATTAGTCATAAACAGTTCACATAATGACCACTATAGGTTAATGGGTTATTGTTTGTTTGTTTTTTTGGTAGTGTTAAAGCCACCATGCAATCAAAATAGACAATTCTCTTTTTCATTAAACAGCCCTGTATTCTGCTGATTTGCAAAAAAAGGCTTCTTTTTAGCAGCATCATATGACCCCTTTAATATATTTTTTGTGTAATTATTTCTCAAATGCTTATAGATCATTAAAATAATTTAAATAATGTTGATTTTTATAACAGTTTTAATGCTCAATATGTGGGCTATACCAGCAGATGATTTATTTTCACCAAACATAAACATCCTTGAAAAACTGGAAAAGATGAAAATCATAGAAACAAGGATGGAATCTATGCAGAAGGAAATCGAGCAACTGAGAAAAGAAAACACAGGTAATGTGACACTGTTTACAAATGGGCTTTTAAGAACTTATACAGAACTTTAAGTATACAAATAGCTAAAAAAAAAAAAAGTAATCTAAACATAAAAAGGTAAACTAGAATGGTCCTACCATAATGTCCAATGCAATAATAGGTATTATTTTTTATAATTTAACAGCACTAAAGAAATAAAGAAGCATTGTGGATGCTTTAAAAGTGAATTGGTAGTTCTTTGTTTTTACTGTATGCACTGAAAAGTTAATGATTGTTAATTATTTTGGCACAAGCTAAGAAATTGGAGGACATGGACATTACAATGAATGAGAGAAAGATCGAAATGGATGAACTAAACAAAATAAAGGTACATTTACAAATTACAGTTTTGTCAGTGAGAAGTCAGTGAATATCTGCAACTGATCTTACAACTGATCAGAAAAGTTTTGGCATAAATGAATTCATCTTTATTAATTATTATTATTTAAAAATTAAGGATTATTATTTCAGCACAAGCAAAGGAGCTGGAGACCCTACGTGGTACAACAAATGACGTAAAGACCAAAATGGATGAACTAATAAAACAAAATGAAGGTAATGTAACAGTACTGTAAAATTAATTAAAAATCATAAATACTTAGTCTTAATCTTAACCCAAAAATTTTAAATAAATTATTTATCAGTTTAAATTTTGTGATTTATTCCTTGATTCTTTATAAAAGTATCTTTATCTAAAGTATTGGCATTTTTAAAAGAATTTCAGAATTTCAATGTTAAACTTTCAACTTTAAAGGTAAACCTTAAAAATGAGACCAATGACATTATTTGTAATCCAATTTACATATTTTCAAAATATCTTTAGTTTTAAAAATGGCTTTCTCAGTATCTCTGTCATCCACTACCAGACCACACAGTAGTTTACACACCCTGATTTACAAACACATCTTCCTCAATACTGGAGATGCCTATGATGCAAACACAGGTACAGTAAATCACTTCACATACTGTAAATGTGACATTTTTATAATCCTTTTAAGTTAAAGGAGGCGTTTAGTTTACTTAAGCCTTTTGTGTCTGATACAGGAATCTTTACAGCACCCATGAAGGGAGCATATTCAGGGTTTTCTCAAAGGCCTATGGAAGTCATAGTAAAGGGGTTTCCGCAGGCCTTTTCAAGAACGGCCAGCATGAAATTTCAGCATATGCATGGCAAGACAGTGGTTTTATCGGCTCTTCAAATGGAGTTTCTCTGTTGCTGGAAAAGGGGCATGAATCTCTATCCTGACTTCTTGACAACGATTACCATCACAGTGGACATCTGCTTTTCCCCATGTGATCAAAACTTACACAAATTTTTCTCACCAGAGTCTTTGTATAGCAAGACTGTAATCATACAAGAAGTTGAATGTACATTATGTCTATCCAGTTTGTAAAGTTTCCACAGTGCACATACAGGAACCAGAAATCCTTTCCTTTTTTTGTTTACATCATCTTTGTCTGATACAGGAACGTTTAAATCATCTATGAGGCAAATATCTATATAAGCTATTTCACTAAAGCTTTTTGGAAATCAAAATAGGCCTATATGGTAAAAGTACAATATGGATTAATTTAAACATCGATAAGAACTTCTTTTACACTGTAAATATGCATATTTTTGGGTTTGTACACTCTTAAAAATAAAGGTGCTTAAAAGGTTCTTCACAGCGATGCCATAGAAGAACCATTTTTTGGTTCCACAAAGAACCATTCAGTCAAAGGTTCTTTAAAGAACCATCTCTTTCTTACCTTTTTATAATCAGAAGAAATCTTCAGATGTTAAAGGTTCTTTATGGAACCATTTAGACAAAAAGGTTCTTCTATGGCATCATGAAGCACCTTTATTTTTAAGAGTGTATATTAAATTTAAATATCCAGTCAAAATCTTAACAATGTTTCAAGGCCCCTAGATTGTGCTCTGGAGTCACTGATCTGAATAAAGCATGAATAAAAAGACTGATTAGAAATAGAGTGAAAGTTTTATTCAACAAAAACTAAGCATAACTACGAAGAAAAGAAGAATTTGGAAAAATAATGGGGAAATAAAGGCACAGTACTGTGCAATGCTTCCTTCTGCATATTCAGGACTGCCTAGTTTAGTTATTGCTTCCGTAGTCCAAAGTCTATAAGGCAGTTTATTATGCAAGACACTCCGTTTTTAAAACTATAAAAGAACATGAATTCAGTTGATTCGGTTTAGCAACTGACAGCAAAATAATGTTGATTTTTATAGCATGTGTAATGCTCAATGTGTGGACTATACCAGCAGATGATTTTTCACCAAGCATAAACATTGTTGAAGAACTAGGGAAAATAACCATAATGGAAAAAAGGATGAAAACTATAGAGAAGGAAATGGAACGACTAAAAACAGAGAATGAAGGTAACATGACAGGATCCCACATACTGTACATGACACAAGTGCCAGTTTAAAATAAACTGCAATAGTATATTTATAAAACCATATTGCTCTACTGAAACATTATAAAATAAAGTTAAATTGCATTCTGTGATATCACTACTAGACAAAGGTTAAGAAGGTGAATCTATATATTTGTTTGGCTTTAATTTACTGTCCATATGTTAAACAGTTTTTTTTATTATTATTTTAGAACAAGCAAAAGAACTGAAGATTTTGTATGATACAGCGATTGACACAAAGATCAAAATGAATGAACTAATAAAACAGAATCAAGGTAACAAACTATAACTTGCAAATCAAGTCGCTTTGAAAAGGATAGAAAAAATGTA